TATACGGTATGCAGGCTGGGGAGGAATCTTAAATACACATTTAGTTAATTTATAAGTTCTACAGAAAAGAGTAATAAAGATTATAATAATAATAATAATAATAATAATAATAATAATAATAATAATAATAATAATAATAATAATAATAATAATAATAATAATAATAATAATAATATCGTTTATTTTCAAAAATTTGCACATTAAATTACAAGAAAAACCACAATAATATGTACAAAAAAGAAAAAAGTCAAAAAATACATAAATACTTTCAATGTAAAAACAAATCATGAAAGGAGTATGGCTCCAGATCACAAAAATAGTTAAACAATTCCTTTTTAAGTAAATTTAGGTTGTTAATTTCCTTGATATTAGCAGGTAGACTATTAAATACTTTTATACATGCCTTTTTCGTATATTGATAACCTATGATAAGGGTAATAAAAATAATTGTGTCTTGTGCTTAAAGATTTTAGATCTTGAAATAAAATATTATTTTTGTACATAAATAAGACAAGTTCACAAGCGTAAAGACCATAAATGGTTAAGATTTTGTTTGTTTTAAAAATACCTCTGCATGATTCCATGTGTCCTAGTTCCAACATTGTGCGCAAGACCTTTTTTGTATTACAAAAATATCTCCAACGTTAGTACTTTGGCCCCAGAAAATGAAAGCATATCTCAACAAGGATTGAATATTTGCAAAATACAATGTTTTTAAGGTTTGAAAGTCTACATACGATCGAATTACTCTAAAGGAGTAATATGTTTTATAAAGTTTTTTGCAAAGTTGTTCAACATGTACCTTCCAGTTTAAATTTTCATCAATGTGAACTCCCAAAAACTTTGTATTTTTTGCTAAATTAATGGTTGTGTCAAACACTTTTATTGTATTTATACTTTCAAACCTTGACTTTATATTATTAAAATAAATACACTGGGTTTTATCCTTGTTAAGTATGAGTCCATTCTCGGCGAACTCTCAACAACCCCAGTGAAGAGTCTTATTTCGGATATTAGTACTTCCGCTTTATTTGACCTAACAAGTAAATTTGTATCGTCAGCAAAATTTATAAGACTTTGAGTTTGCTTTGTAACTGTACAATTTAAATCATTTAATATATTACAAACATAATAGGACCAATAACACTGCCTTGAGGTATTCCAACTTCAATAAATTTAAAAAAATTAAATAAATTTAAAAAAATTAAATAGAAACCAAAATTGACTTTTGTTTTTTTTTTACAAAAATTAAAACGCATTACACTTGAACTTCAGCTCCCAGTCTTTTTAATGCTTCTTTTTAGATAAAAACAAGCTTTTCTTTTATCGGCCCGTAAGAAATCAAAACATGTTTTATATGTACTATTATTAAAAACACTAGGCGTTCATATGAAACCTACTGCGAATAGGTACGAATAGGTACGGAAACAAAACAAGTTTGGAGAGGTCTACGAGCTACGAACTCAGAATCCCAAAGTTGGAGAGGTGCTTAAAATTGTGGATAATGAGCAGATAAGCAACAGAAGTATCTTCTATTTGGAAACGAAGCTGCTCTCCATTCAGAAGCCAAACTAGCGTGATGGAATGGAATGCCTTAAATAAATTTGACCAAGAACATCATGAACCTGGCGATACCGAAGATTGCTTGTGGACTTGACGGTTTAGACCGGACAATAATTAGAAGTATAATGGAAGTTCTTTAGATTTAGTGGCATACTCGCGACGAAATAAAATTTATATACTTGCAAATAAATAGACTCTTGCACAGTAGTGATATATAAATAATTAGTAGTTTTCTTCCAATTTATAAGACTGTATAAGAAACTGTAAAGTATAAAACACGGTTTTTTTTTATCTAAAATGCTTAATTATCGGTCGCAATTGGTAAAACCAATCCGCATAAGTAAATTTTATTGTTTGAAATTGTCGCTGTTAATTTCAAACATTAAAATTAGTGGATTTTCTTCTCTTCTTTACCAATCAGTTTAATTTAAACATTAAAATACATCGTATTTTATACTTTTAAATTACTTTTGCCTCCAGCATGAATTTCAAACAATGAAATATCGCTAATTTACAAGTTTGTTGAATTGTTTGGTTACTTTTAAACTGATTGATTAAATCAGCGGTTCTTAACCTTTTCCCGTCCACGGACCCCTAAGAAATCAAGTACAACTCCAAGGACCCTTTGATAAAAAAACAGCAATACATGTCAGACCATTTATTTTAGTACTGCAAATACAAAAAAATACGCTAATGTGAAGGTTGGTGCTGCTTCTTTGCAACTAAGTTAATGATATTTGGGCTGATGTTACTACTAAGTTGCAATCGGATTCCACTAATCTGTTTCTGTATTTGTTTTTAATATAAACAATAGACGAGAATGCCTTTTCACAGAGATAAATTGTTTAAAAAAGCAGTAAATGTTTCAGTGCTTGATCTAATATTTCCTGAGACTTTTGGTAGCATTTATTTATTATTGTTAAATAGTCCATAGGTGAGACTGCGGCGGACCCCGTACATATACTCGCGGACCCCTTGGGGTCCGCGGACCACAGGTTAAGAAACACTGGATTAAATGAGAGTCAATCCAAATGAAAAAACCAAAAATGAATTTAAAAGGGTTAATGAAAAAAATTTGAGGATAATCTTTTAGGTATCATATATGAAAAACCGTTGCCGTTTTAATTTTTAGTTGCTTTATTTTTAATCGGCACCCTTTAGAAACCTGAAATCGTGTCATTTTCTTACTCTCTTATAAGAGGCGAAAACTTTTTTCTGTGGCAATTATTGAAATGATTGTAATTTTATTTTACTGCCTAGTAATTATGTTTTTAATATTAATTATTATTATCTAATTAGTTCATCTCATAAAAGAATGGTAAACCACTAAAGATTTGTAATAATTTGACAATTTTTGTGATTTTTGTCTGGCTCCTGTGCCTATTCTGCTAAATCTAGAAAGTTGCTTTTTTTAGGTATCAAGTAGGTACTTATACAATAGAAAACGTAACTATTATTTTAAGTTTTTAGACCATCATTTTCTTTATTAAAAAACTTATTGAAACTTGATAATTTTCAAATTTAGCCAATTTTGCCCTCAGAAATCATTATGTTGAGGAAAAATAAAAATCTGAAACTCAGGAAATGTAGTCCCCACATTCATCTTTTCTGTCTAAAGTCTTTAGTTAGTATTGTTAGTTTTATTTATAATTTAAAATTTAGATGGCTTTGACTTAGTCAATTCATGTTTGGTAGAGAAATGTCAGAACTGTCAAAAATATTTCATAAATATTATTTGTGCGTATTTAAATTGTGATTTCAAAAAGTTTGCAAGTTTGCAAGTGTAATAAATGACGGAGTGTTCGAGATTCCTGAATTTAATTGCAATTAAAAATGCAAGAACATATCATAATTTTGTACCTCTTTCTCATAGAAAATATTCAAGTTCTGAGAAGTTTTAAATTGTTAAAAATAAGCAAAAACCAAAAAATATTCTAAATAAACTCCTTTATTATAACAAGTTTTATTTTAACCATTTACCTAAAAACTAAAATTTAAAGAAGTAGGTATTTACAGATTGTGTAATTTTTTTTCCAACACTAACATTTAAAATACATACATATAATTTTTAACTATTCAGTGCCTTACTAAAGAGATCAAAATAATAGAACAAGACTAACTTGGTTCAAATTGTGAAAGAAACCGACAAAAAACTGCTTAACGCATTTTTTATACGTTTAAATTAACTCTTTATTAATTTCACTTATTATAGTTTACGATATAAACCATAAGGGTCTTGAATATATTTTTTACATTCTTCTTCTTTAAACACCAATTAAGGCCTATTCTCACATAGCGACGCGACGCTACGCTACGCGACGCGACACTTTATAATGTAGCTAGTGATTCCCACATACTAAGCGACGCGACGCGCCAGCAACGCGACTCGACAAAATTTTGTCGCTTCCTGGAGCGACAATAGGGCGCGATTTTAAAGCATCGCGTCGCGTAGCGCCGCGTAGCGTCGCGTCGCTATGTGAGAATCGGCCTTAAAGGCCGATTAAATCAATCAAATCAAATACTTGATAATATGACATATTATGTTATATACAAAATTTACCAAAGAAATACACACAAATAATATTTCATCTAGATTTTAAATTATAAATAAAACTAACAATATCGTTACTAAACGGGCATTAAAAAAATTAATATATCTTTTAAAGGAATAAAAATAACAAAACAAGACTAACTGGACTGAAAAGATGAAGGTGGGGACTACATTTCCTGAAAGTTTCAGATTTTATTTTTTCCTCAACATAATGATTTCTGAGGGCAAAATTGACTAATTTTAAGAATTGTCAAGTTTCAATAATTTTTTTAATAAAGAAAATGATAGTCTAGAAACTCAAAATAGTTACGTTTTCTATTGTATAAGTACTTGATACCTGAAAAAAAAATAACTTTCTAGATTTAGTAGAATAGGCACAGGATCCAGACAAAAATCACAAAAATTGGCAAATTATCATGAATCTTTAGTGGTTTACCATTCTTTTATGATATTATCTAATTGGATAATAATAATTTATATCGAAAACACACTTACTGAACAGTAAAACAAAATTAAAATTATTTCAATATTTGTCACAGAAAAAAGTTCTGGCCCACTATAAGAGAGTAAGAAATTGACACGATTTCAGATTTCTAAAATGTGGCGATTAAACGTAAAGAATCCAAAAATTAAAATGGCATTTTTATATTTGATACCTAAAAGATCATCCTCAATTTTTTTATCAAAATCAAGCAGCGCACCCCATTTGGTGTTTTTATTTGGAATGACTCATGATAAAACGTCGTTCCAAAAATAGGCAATAAAAACCGTATTCCCATTATATTTCCTTGTAGCGTAGTGTAAATAATAAAATAATATGTAAAAATTGTATTATTTACATAATTAAAATAATAAAATTAAATTAAAGTATTAAAAATTATTTAAGTTCCAAGTGGAGCTCCCGTAGATATTAGAGCGGAAGCTAAAAGTTCTACAGAATTGGTTGTAACATGGGAACCTCCGCCTAGAGATACTTGGAATGGAAATTTGTTAGGGTATCATATCGGATATACAGAACTAAACAATCAAGAAACCAGTAAAGTAGCTCAGGTGTACATTTATAAAAGTGTTGAAGTTCGGCCACATTTTGGAGGTGAAGCTATTTTGCAGGGTTTATCTAAATATACCATGTATAGTATTATTGTACAGGTAAAGTTTATAACTATGGTACGAAATTCCCGGAAAGATCAATTAACATAACCTATCAAGATTTTCTATTTCATTGCTTTTTCAAGCTTATACCTATTCCTGTAATTAAGTTTTTTTATTTATCATTAATTTATATATAAGACATCCAAAAATTTTGTATATATTTCCGGAAATTTTTTAACCTTTCAAAATTTATTTATAAAATGTGTATTTTATTTAAAATGCCCCTATTTTAGGCATATAATAGTAGAGGATCTGGTCCAGCAAGTGAATCAGTATCATCAAGAACATTAGAAGATTCTCCTAATTTGCCTCCTGAAAATATTCAATGTTCTGTTTTAAATCCACAAAGTTTACACATATCATGGAATCCTCCGCTTCCAAAAGGACAAAACGGAATTATTCAGGGATACAAAGTTACTTATCATTCTGTGGGAGAATGGTTTGGTTAGTATTTATTTCGTTAATTTTATTTCATGTAAACTGAAATAAATAAACAGTTAGTAGCCTTAAAAAATATAGTCATGGATTTTTAAAATTCTGGTGTAAAAAATAAATAAAAAATTTAAATTATAGAAAAAGTACATTTTTTGTTTATTTAATTTCGTTTATATGGAAATAAATATTAATTCGATTTCAAAATAGGTACGTACCGTTTATGTTGTATAATGGATAGGTGGGATCATAATAAAAGTTTCATAGGCAACCCATAAACATTAAATTAATTGCAATCGTTTTTTTATTTGATTTCAAGTTTTTAATTGGCTAAATTCTGGAATTACATATTTTTAACTGATCAAATCGGGTTTTCTTGTATTCGAAGGACAAAATGAGAAAATTTAATGGCTACTTTTTCTAAAAGGGGTAGCACCAGAAGCAATTATAAACAATAAAAATTAAAAGTAGAATTTTCTTGAACCCGTTTTTAAAAATAAAATATAACAAGTCTGTTTTAATAAATTATCATTTATTTTAATTCGTATAAAATTAAAACGTAAATAATTTAAAAAATATTTTTCACGGTTGGTTTGTCAAATATTCTAATAAGTAATTAGGTTTTATACATTACGGCAAGATAACCACATTAAAACACAGTACTAAAATAATTAGTTTGCCATCTTACAAAACGAACTTTAGTAATATGTTAGGTTTTTTAAAATTATGTATGGTTTTAAGCCTAAATAAAATTTATAATAATTAGTTTTTCACGTTTCTAAAAACCAATAGAAACTTATAATTTCAGTCATGTATAGGTATACGTTTCAGCCAATCAAAACTATATTATACAGGATATATTATAGTTACATTATTGCCTGGAGAATAATATGAAGTATTTTTAACATTTTTGTTTATTTTAAGGCATTATTGGGGCATTGTTGTTAAGCCAAAAAATAATCTATAATAATAGCACACATGAGATCAATAAATTGAAAATAATTATCCAGATCTTTTCTCAAACCTGTTGCCATTTGGCAATAGACACTCGAGGGCTCTCGTGTCTATTTTCTGAAATCAGGTACTCAAAAATCTGTTAAATTATGTTTAATTTATCACTCTCACTCTTGTAATACTTCTACTGTCTACGCAGTCTTTTGAAAACTTCGCATTTAACCCCATGTTAGGCGCCTGGAGTAATCTACAGATATTTTAGTGGTGACCAAGCAAAACGTGGCTTGTGGATGGTGCCACGCGTTTGAATAGCTGTCGGAAATATACCAAAGTACCCTTTTAATGTAAAATGAAGAGGCGAGTGTATTAGTTATATACTTATAAGCTGTGAAAGACGACTGGATTACGATTGTAATCCACGCGCCACGTAGCTAATATTTCTGTTTTAGTAAACAATTTAGAAATTTGGCTGTTGATAAGTTAAGCCAAGTTCTATTTGTTTTTTAAGTAAACCTATATATTGGGTGTACAATAGAATAAACTTTTTTTTAATTAGAAATGCTATTATTTTGCATCTAAACAGATTCTATCCATTCAAAATGTCACAATTATGCGCTTTAGGACTTGTAAAATTTACGCCGTAAACTAACAATTACTTTCTGTTTATTTTTTGCTTACGGGATGGGTTAACGCTATTGGAAAAAGAGTAATATTTATGTAAATGTTCTTAAGAAAAAAGTTGCAAAGAAGCAGTGTTTTTTTAGAATTGTCTGACCCAAATAAAATTCTTTTGTAAAGGATACATTTTTTTAATGTTATTTATTTTTTGTTCATTAGAATATATGTTTATTTGTTCATACAAAATATATAATTTTGTTATTTTTGTGTTAAAAAGTTTTTTTCAACTGTTTTAAACACAAACGTAAACATGTAATCATACATAATATATACATATATATTATATGTCCTGACTCAACCCTATTGCACAATATTACACTACTGTGCGAATGATTTCATCACCTGCTGCTGATCCAGCAACCCTTCCTGGTGCTCCTTTGTTTGCTAAACTGCGTGTTGGTGAAAAACAATGACACATTGTATAGTTCCTAGTATCTACAGTGATAAGAAATGTAACGCTCTTTAATATAAATTTTATATGCAAGTCTATTATTTATTATTAAGATTTATTATTTTATATTTTTTCTATTTAATAATTATAATTGGGCAGAAAGACCACGCCTGTTGGGAAACCAATAAAGATGTTTATTATTATTATAAATTATAATTGTGTATTGTGTATGTTTGAAATAAAATCAATTCTTTTTTAAAAAGACATTAATTAATTTGGTCCTACGGATTTGTTTACGCCGAAATTAAAAAAATTTCGAAGGTGGACCCAGTCCTTAGAACAAACAGAATCTACAGCAAACAAGAAGAATAGAAAACAACCTTAGACTCCAGTGCACCGATAATGCAACTGTAAGTTCATAATAAGCAGTATCCTATAATTTTTTTTATTAATGCCTTGAATATTTTATTGTCGTTTTAATTTTTTTTTAATAATTTAATATAATGTCTAATCACGAGAACGATGTTGAAACTGATAACGTAGCTACAATCCCTGTAAAGTTAACAGATCTTTTTTCCAGTATACCCGAATATGATGGAGATCAAATATTGTTAAATTCTTTCATAAATTCAAGCGAAACCGCTTTATTATTCAGATGATTAAATTGAACTAGTTCTTCTCACATCAAAAATAAACTTAGAGGTTAAGCTTCCCAGTTAATAAATTCCAGAAATATTATAATATACTCAATGGCGAGAAATTAAAACGTTCTTAACTTCACATTTTGGAAATAGTAGAGATCTAAATTCCTTATTATATGTGTTCAATCACAGATTGAACAGATAAATCTTGAGTCGGCAGAATGTTCAATCACAGATTGAACAGATAAATCTTGAGCCGGCAGAAGGGTCAATCATAGGTTAAAACCCAAATTTAACAGAAAAATAGTTCAACATATGTTTATTATTATTGTTTAGATATCACTCGTACAAGTAGCGTAAAAGCAACCTTGTGCTATAAACTACTTAGTCAGCAAAAGTTCCAGTCAGTAGCGTACAGAATAAAATACAATTAAAAACACATGTTTTGTCTAGTGCGCTACTGACATTTGTTTTAAATATAATTATAAAGTGTTTTAAGTTTATAGTTCGAAAACATCAAATAATTAGATATGTTTTATAAATTATTTAAATTTGTTGAATATAAAACTCAGACAACTTTTAATAAAGAGATAGTTTAACACTGCTTACTCTATCATTTCAATAGAATCTTAATTGATCTCTATTCATGGTCCTTCGAACCGGATTGGATCATGGGCCTTCGAACTACGTGCTAACGCTGGGAGGTGAGCATCATCAAAGAGAAAATCTTTGTACTCGCCCAGCGCTTAGCAAAAACAACAAACTACAAAAATCTTACACTGGGAGGACAAACTGATCCAGCAGCCCAGAAAATTTTGGAGTAAAGAAGAGCACTGTCCTGAAAAGTAAAGAATCCGGACCTGTCTTCGCCTCCACACAACCAAGCTACAAAAAATCTTACACTGGGAGGACAAACTGATCCAGCAGCCCAGAATATTTTGGAGTAAAGAAGAGCACAGTCCCGAAAAGTAAAGAATCCGGACCTCTGTTCGACTCCACATAACCAAAAATGCATTTCAACGACAAAACGTCACTTCAAAAAGTGAACAAAATGACACTCAACCACGAAACTACGGATCAATCCAGGCCCCGGAGCGTTCAACCAGAAAAAGCTTCGGGTCAGCATTCGAGACGCCAGAATACTCACCAAGAAGGAGCTCTGGGTCCACAGCCATCATCAGGCGATCCACAACGACCAACTACCGGGATTTACGACCCCGAACAAATGGTGACCTGTCCGTACGACGACAGCCACCGAGTCCTAGCAAAGAGGTTACCGTACCACAAGATGCGGTGCCTCGTCAACAACCCAAGGGCCAGGAAAATGGAACCACCGTCATATCTCATCGAGGAAGAACGCAGGGCATATGAAGTCAGAATAATACGACCACCCGTAAAAGATGTTTTCCCATGGGAGAACGAAGAAGAGGAATGGGAGCTGCAGGATGGCAGCTATCTAGACTATCTTCCGCCAATAAAACCAATACCTCCACGAGCCAACAAGAGTCGTGGCCGGCAGAATGTTAAAACACAATTTTAACATAATAATCTTAAATGGCGAATCGGCAGAATGTTCAATCACAGATTGAACAGATAAATCTTGAGTCGGCAGAATGTTCAATCACAGATTGAACAGATAAATCTTGAGCCGGCAGAAGGGTCAATCATAGGTTAAAACCCAAATTTAACAGAAAAATAGTTCAACATATGTTTATTATTATTGTTTAGATATCACTCGTACAAGTAGCGTAAAAGCAACCTTGTGCTATAAACTACTTAGTCAGCAAAAGTTCCAGTCAGTAGCGTACAGAATAAAATACAATTAAAAACACATGTTTTGTCTAGTGCGCTACTGACATTTGTTTTGAATATAATTATAAAGTGTTTTAAGTTTATAGTTCGAAAACATCAAATAATTAGATATGTTTTATAAATTATTTAAATTTGTTGAATATAAAACTCAGACAACTTTTAATAAAGAGATAGTTTAACACTGCTTACTCTATCATTTCAATAGAATCTTAATTGATCTCTATTCAATATGATTTAAATAGAATTAAACAAAACGTTAACGAAAACCCCCTTTCTTTTGTGCATAGAATTAATTCTCATAAAGCAAAATTACACGCTAATATTAAGGCTTCCAATCTTAATGCCGATCAGAAAATTAGTCAATGTGCCTTGGTAGATAATATGTGCCTGGACACCTTGCTAACCGGATTAGGAACTGGAATCAGAACTATTGTTCGTGCTAGTAATCCTAAAAACGTATTAGAAGCCGCTTTAAGAATAAAAAGATAGACACAACTCTCATATTTCGAAAATACTAAAAATTCTAAACCAATAAA